TAAAAAGGGATCATGCCGGCCTTCAGAGGCTGTCCTAAATGAGGTCTCCCCTCCATCTTGGAGGAAAGGGTCCCCATAGCCAGCAGCTCAACTTTCGAGGGACTTCTAGTGGTGTTTAGGTAAACGGCTTCGTGGCTGCTTATTTTATTACTGTCTGCTATTAGATCACTATTGTTTATTGCAGGTGGCTGCCCGGCAGGTGGGAAGTTAGGGAACTGTATGCGTGTGTGTTAGGGCAACGGTTTCCCCTTGTTAGGCGAGGGATCCCGTGTGTGAGAGTGTGTGTGTGTGTGTGGCAGTTAATACAGCACTTAACTGCTTCCAGGAACCTCAACAGCAAAATGTTTCCTGCACTTTGACATCGATGAAAAAAAAAAATTTGTTATTTCCATTTTGGGGTTTTCATGTTTGTTATAGAAGAAGTACTAAGTCTGTATTATTTCAGCACTATCTATTCTCTCAGTTTCAGCACAGACAAAAACATTTCAGCATTAAAGATAAATATTTTATATTTTAAAATACATTTAAATATTAATCTGTTGAATATTCAATACCTATTTATTTGTATAACTAAAAGATAGACAATGGATTCAGACAAGATAAGCTGTTTGCTTCTGCAAAACAGAAACTTTTCAAATAATTTTTTTCTCTCTTTTTGCTTGGTGTGCTTTATTTAACCAGTAGCATTTTTTTTCTTGAAAAGATCTGGGTTTTAATAAGAAGCCATATTTCACTGAAAATGAGTGACAAAACTGGCATTCCCACAAATGACTGCCAATATATTATTTTTGTTTATGTGATCTTTCCAAAATAACCCAGCTCCCCTTTTTCTGTCACTGTGCATATATTCTTCAGCAAAGTGCTTCAGAATGCTGCAAAATTAAAGCAGTTTTAGGACTCCTGATGATGCCAAAAGGCAAACAAGAACTCAAAAAGTGTCCTTAGCATATAAGTTAATTAAGGAATGTCCTGAATAAATATACATGAAGCAGAGCTAAAATCTATCCCATTAGAAAAGGAAAATATGTCAAAATGTATATCAGTGGAGTTTATAACCTCCTGAAAGCAGATAGCCTGTTTTTTTGTTTTTTGGGGTTTTTTTTGGGTTTTTTTTTTTTTTTGTTTTTTTAGGTTTTTTGTTGTTGTTGTTGTTGTTGTTTTTTGGGGTTTTTTTTTTGGTTGGTTTTTTTTTTTTGTTTTTTTTTTTTTTTCTATTTGGGAAGAACTTAATACATTTTCCTCACTACCAAAGGGTAAACAATAGTGTGCACAGAAAGAAAGGCAGGTAATATGTCAGCTCTTGCAGCATGTACATCACCTAGTGGACATGCTTTGCATACTAAAGGGTGGGGATCTATCCTGCTAATGCATATTTTCTGCTCATATTATCAAGTGTTAGTCCTGGCGCGTGTTTTCCACACATGTGGAGAAAGCGCACCCAGCAACTTGTGGCTCACCTGTCCCAGCCCTTGCAAGCCCCAGAGAGGGAGCAGCATTTCTGCAACATAGCACTTCTTTATGTCTTTGCTGCTTTTCTCTGCAGGGGTCAAAGCAGGATTTAGCCTGCACTCCCAACTAAACTGAAAACTATTTTCTGAAGAAAGTGTATGCAACATTGGTGTAATCCTGCAGCAGACTCCATCCTGCTGCAATCGTCTGCACTGCACAGCCTACAAAATGTGTGCAAACAGATTGAGGGGAAAATGAAGCGTGGCCCACACAAATATGTAAAATATACTTGCAAATTAGAGAGAAAATTGGAAAGATATCATTAAGGCAAAGGTTTGTGAGTTAAAGCTATGAATGATCCAGCTTAGCATTCTATCTGACTGTTTAGTTTAACATGAATATTTACTGTGCCACTCCATCCAAATGAGAGCTTCTCAAGTGAATGCTGTGGTAGCTACCTGCAGCCCTGATCCGGATGCCAAGGTCTAATCCAGCTTCAGCAGAAGCAAACAGTGAGATCCTTGTGCACTTCACGGATTGTGAAAGCAAGATTTTTGGATGCGAAGACATGTTTATAGAGAAACATCCCTGAAAAAACAAGGATGGACCTAAATCTGCAGTTTGACTGGGAAAGTGTTTGAGGAGCATGAGCTCTGGATGGGAACATGTGACAATGTGTAACACTCTGAGCTGCAAGGCAGTGACAATTAAGAGGGACATACTTGTCTCTATTTTTAAACAGCAATGAGGTGAGTTGATATTTAAGTTCTCTTCCAAGAATTTCAGTGCAGATGACTGCCCATAGTATAATTATTCACAGTAAAGACTGAGCCATGTTTCAGCTCTGAACATTTGATCGGTCTCTGTACAATCAAAATATAGTCAGATTTGGACAGCCTAGCAGGATATTTCTGACTTCCATGTGCAACTATACTTTAACCAGCCTTTCTCTCACACAATGTCACACAGTGATACACAGTGTAAATCCTTCATATGTCAAATAAGACATGGCATCTACAGTCTGCAGAAAAAATCTGCAGGGTGTAAAGTTACCAAGTATTTGTGAGGTCTACTGTGAGGCTGCATTTTTTTTCCTTCCTGAAACATGAATTCATCTTCTGAAGAATGTGTTTATTTTTACTTTTTCACACAAAAACCACAGCTACCTTCTCCAGGAAATAAATAGGGAAAAGAAAAAGGTATGGATAAGAGAAGTTTGCAATAAGCCAGGCTTCAATCATCAGCTTTGTAATATAATGATAAGACTCAATGGTTACAATCTTTTGTTATTTAGGAATCATGTCAATTCTCCCAGCATGTCTAAGAAAAATATAGTCACCACTAAGAAGTTGGCATTTAATGCTCTCTGCCACACTCCATTATCTGAGAAAGTTTTGTCCTTACTGGGAACAGTGGGAAATGTCATACAAGATGAGCCAGGGCTGGGAGTTTAATAGGTGATTTCTGTATTTTTCTCATTATGAAATGAGACCACAGAAGTCTATAAACTTCATGGATATTCAATTGCTAATAGTTCAGAGTAGATTTTCCAGAGTTTCTAAATCTAAGCTGATGTTCATCCACTAATTTGAACAGTAATGCTTAGAAAGCTGATTGATCTTCTGGAATGAATGTATGCACTAAAGAGGAAGCATTGTAGGGGTTTTTTAAAGCTGTAAACTGAGAATTAGGAGTCAGTGTTCAGTCTGTGACACTTCATCAAAACATGGTCTGAGACCACTGGCAAATCTCTTCTTTATTTTACATCCTACAGATAGAATAATTGGAATGAAAGTATTATGCCACAAAGATTTTCAAACTGAAGTTTCTAAATCTGCTGAAGACAAAAGAAGCCTTGTAAAATTTACTATCTTTAGATTATTTTTAAATATTTGAAGATACTTTTTAAAAGATTCTCCCATAATTTTGGCTTTGAAATAGATCTCTGTAAAACAGATAGTTTTAAAATTAGAAATCATGCCAGACTTGTGGCTGCTCACCGTCTTTGTAAATTGAAATCACAGTAGACCAAAACATGTCCTGATTTATGATCTGTAGAGCTGAATTTACTCCAACGTAAATTTGACCATGTATTACAAGATACTGACCAGTTCATTAAAGCTCCATATCCTGAAATGTCTGCAGAAAAGGTAGCTTTATCCAGATAATAAAATATATTTAAAACATATTTTCAAAATCAACCAAAATTTCAAAGCCAGCAACAGAGGCAAATACTGTCATAAATATGAAGATAAATATACATTAAAATGCTTCTTCCTCCCTTTTGGAAATGTGTATGCCTTTATAATAAACACACAGAATGCTACCTTGCATTCAATAGGTCTATTTATATGTTTAAAATTAAGTATTTGTAAATTTGCAAGATCAGGCCTATAGTGTATGTGTGTGTGCGCGCGTGTGTGTACGTGTATGTACAGGAATAAAGAAGGCAGCTTGATTAGAAGTTCTATTCCATGCTCACTCTTTTACTTAACATCTGACATTGGAAAAAATGAAGCTAAATGTTCCAGCATTTCTGACAGTTCCAATCCATTATCTGTAATCTGAAAAAAAACATGCACTTTTTTACTCTGAAGCAAATGTAAGGTTTTTTCCTTTCTTTTTTTTTTTTTTTTTTTTTTTTTTTTTTTTTTTTGTGGAGACGCCTTCTTTATATAGTGACAACATGATAGCAGAGATACCAGTTTGCTGTAGATTGTGTGACTGACAATAATATTCTCTGCAACACGTAGAAGGGAATAACTGATGAATCGGAAAATATATGGATGCCTACTGAAATGATTATGTAATGAAACACGAAGTCAAACGGTGGCATGCTTCTATTAATTGTAGATGATAGTAATTAATTTTCACTGCAGTTGTGATCATGTCGCTGCTTTCAGAAGAATCCAGAATCCCCTTCCAGGAAAGTGTGAAATTGCATCTGGGTTCTTCAAGCCATGAAAGACTATAAATTTCTTTTAAAATAAGAGAGAGAGGCCTTCCTCGATACTGTACTTTAGAAAGAGGAAAAAACAAAGGAAAAAAGAAAATGATAATTGTTTTCTCTAAGGCTATTATCTAATGCAAAAGCAAACAGTCTGACTGGAAATCAGCTAACAGAAGGGGATTAGAGAGTAGATCTGAGAGTGGCTTGATTTCTAGCACTGCTGTCTCTTCACACAGTGATGAGACACAGGCAGAGCAGCCAGGAGCTCTCCAGATGGCTAGAGAAAGTGTTTGTCTTGGGTTACTGCAGGGCAGTCTGGACTCTTAAAGCCGGGGAGGCATCATTAGGGAGCAAGTTAGATGTCCACCCAGTAAAAGCGAGCGAGAGAAAGAAAGAGTAGGCAGGCTGCCCGAGAGGGACCACGCTCGCCTATTGTTAACATATACTTGACCCCCACTAACCTCTTCACGACACAGATGTCTCCTACCTCTATCACCTCCCACTGCTTTAAGCCCTCCCCCCCTGCACCTGGGTAGCGGGGCCGGCCCGGCTGCCGGCAGTATGCTGCCTGCCTCGCGCGCTGCCTGCTAGCGGGAGCCGGGCGCAGCGGAGCGGCGGCGGCGGCGCAGCCTCGGCTCGGCACGGCACGGCACGGCACCGCACCGCACCCCCGGCTCGGCTCGGCTCGGCTCCGCCGCGGGCTCAGCTATGCGTCGGCTGCTCGGGGACAGGCAGAGACCCCGCCACTGACAGCGGCCGCTCCCTGCGCTCCACATCACGTTTGTCTGAAGCGGCGGCGGCGGCGGCAGCAAGGAGAAGGACCTGGGCATTAACTATCTCGACTTGGAGACTTTGCTTTATTTTTGGTTCTTGTCCTTTCCCGTGGAACCAGTAGTCTCTCTCGAGCTGATCCTCCTTTAAGAAAAAAAAAAAAAAAAAAAAAAAAGAGCGAGAGAGGGTGGTGGGGGGTGGGGGGGAAAGAGCAGCTGGAGTTTCTCCTCAGCTCGTTTTGACTTTTGTGGACGTGGATCATCTGGACTGGGAAGGGAAGCCGCGCGGCGCTGCTCTCCCCTTTCCCACCCCCTCGCCCCTCCAGCAGCCTGGGCTGCCGTCTCTCCCCCGAGCAGGACGGGAACTTTTATTTGCAGCTCGCAGCCCGTGGCGAATGGTGGGCATCTCCGGTCCTCTGCAGTGTGAGTACGGGCGCGGGCAGGGCTGGGCAGGGCGCGCCGGGGCGGGGGGAGCTCGAGCCCCTTTTCTTTCCCTTTCTGCTCTCCCGCAGGGTTCCCCGGGCTCTGAGAGGCTCCCGTGGCTGTAACTAACCCAGGCGGACCGGGGCTGCTGCTGTGCCCGGGCCAGGTTAGCGCTGCATGCAGCCTTACACGCTCTGTCCCCGGCTTACAAACTAGCACCCCGGATACTGCTCAAGAGCTCGGAAACCAAATAACCCAGTTTTGGCAGAAAATAACCCTCCCAGGCATATATTATAACAAAGCGTCAGATTTCTGTCTGGATTTAGGACTTGCCTTTTTCCTTCCTGCCTCCCCTCTCTCCAGGCTCTAGCGCTGGCTAGTGTGAATTGGAGTGGCTGAAATATTTCTGAAGGGATTGTTTTGTTTCTCTTGTTGTTTCACTGAAATCATAGGTTTGTGCAGCACTAACAACATCTTTTCGGACTATTTTGAAATAAATATTTTAGGCGGTGCACGTCTCCTTTAGCTGCACCACGGTCTTGCAAATAGCTTGTTCCCTAAAACGACAATATAACGTTAGAGTTTGCATTTCCAAAACTGCCATACAATGTAACTGTCATCTCCTCTGGCTGTGCTGAAGGGTTCGATTCCATAACTTTGCAACAGACCATTGATAAGGGAGATTGGAAGGAGGAAAACCACATTCCCGGCCATTTAGACAAGCATTTGACTTTTGCGGAGTTCTAGTCCTTTTGTTAGTGCCAAAGTTGAGAAATTTGCTTTCGCGCAGGGAAGGATTTGCCACCCTAGCAGGAGCACCCGTGACTCCGTTTCAGAGTTAATTTATAGCGAACTAGCTGTCGCTCTTGTACTCTGCTCCCCTAGATGCTAGAGAGAAACCGAAAGTAACTAATCGGACGTAGCTCTTAAATCGTTCATGCTCCATCCAGGAGCTAAAATGTTGCTTCCTTCAGTTCCCTGATAAGTTTAAAGGAGGAAGGGCGAGGGTATGGGGAGTGAAGCAGCCTCCCCCTCCTGCCCCCCAGGTTGCAGCCGGAGCCGGGCGCGGCGGGACCGCCCTGCCCGACCGCAGCCGGGGGCTCTCCGGCATCATCGCCGCTCTGGGGAACAGACGCCTCGAAGCCGCTCGGGTTTCACTGGGAGAGCAGCCCTCCATCTTCCGATCCGCAGCAGGCTCTGCCCGCCATCCCCTCCTACCTCTGCCGTGCCCTAAATCACGGCACGGAGAGGATCCGTCTGTCGCAGCCGCCCGGCCGTGACGCCCGGGAGCCGGCAGCTCCCGCCCCGCAGATAGCTCGGGAGCGGGCTGCGATCTGCTGAGTCCGCGGCAGCAAGTCTGACCGAAAGAGCTGCCTAAGTTTTCCACTGACAATCGCAGCCGGGCGGAGAGCGCCTGCCCTCGCTTGCCAGCGCGGCCCCAAGGTGCGCTGTGCACGGCTGCGCGCCCGCCTGTGCGGGCAAGGCTGAACGCGGTGAGGGCACAGCACGGCGCGGCAAGGGCCGGGCAAGAATGGGTATATGCCTCTTAAAATCAGCCTGCGGGAGCTGCCGTGCTGTTTCTGGGAAAGCAGCAAGTGCCAAACGCTTGGCTACTGGCGTAGCCCTGGCTAACTAGAAGAATGTCTTGTGAGTCTTGGTATGTACGGCCAAGCGTTTGCTCCAGCAAGCACTCCTGTGCTTAATGTAACGCTGACCCCTTTAACTTTTAACATCGCTTCTCCTAATTAATCTGTTCAGGCCCCAGACTTAAATGGCTGTCCACAGCTGCTGCAAATTGATTTATCCCCTGATGGTGGTCCGAGTTGCTGACCAAAGCAGTATTTTTTTCCCCCCCTCCCCATTTTTGGTCTACTAATCTGTTTTGACTTATTTCCTACTTACAGTAATGCTTGCATGCTTTTTGAAGGACTTAGAAAATATCTTCCATTGACATGTAACTAGAAACATAATTATTGTACTTGTAAACACAATATGTTAGGGCTAAGGGTGAGCATAATTTATTTAACTACACCCTTGAAGCCTTACATTTCCGTCTCAATTTCTGCATCCTGACAGATGCAATGGAAAGTTTCAATAAGCAACTTTGTTAACTGCAGTTTGAGGCAAGATGTGAAAGACGTTTTTAGAGTTGAATTCTATTGTCCAGGTTTTCTGTTCCGCTTTTCTGTTAACGGCTTAGTGAATCTGGATAGCTGAGTAGATTGAAACTGGTTTCTAATGGTTGTTAAAGTTGATGCTTGACCTTTTCATGGGAAGTCTGAAAACCTCATTCAGTTTATTCTGGGCTGATTTCCTTAGGAAATTCAATATGATCAAGGAATTTCCTTCAGCTCGGCTGAATGGTAAAAAAGTTACTCCATCTTGTTTATGCATTCTGGTTTTAGCACTAGGTGTTTCTGTGGCTCCCCTTCAATAGGAAGATAATAGGAAAAGACGTGAGTATGGCTCATTCATAACTATACAGTGAAAATATGAAGTTGGCAAAGGCTTTGTTAGGGGTGAGATTCACTGCAGCTTTGCTGTAAAGGTTTTCAATTAGGAACGTACAATAACTATGTTTGATAATTGATAACTTTCTTAAGGTCAGTTTCACCATATCTGAGCATTCAGTATAATTGCTACTATTTTCAATTAATGAGTCATTTTCCTTCGCTGTCATGAGAATCATGCATCAAGTGCAAGAAAACACCAAACTCCACCAAAAATCCAACAGACCCTTGAATCCATTCGTGCCTCTGACAAGCTGGAGCCAGGCGAGGGGTACAAGAGATGATAGCAGGACTTCTTTCCGTCCTGGGTGAGCGGCTGGGTTCTTGAGCCATGAGCATGCTGTAGGGAGACAAGAACCATTCTGTTTGTAATGGAATGCAGACAGCAGTGTTAGGTCACTGCTTCCTGGCAACTGCTGCACAAGTTGTTTTTCTTCAAAGGCTTTGAGCTTTTAAATAGTTTCCAAAATCTTTTTAAGTAAAACACTGCCTTCTACCATTTCTGACCACCTTAACGTTAACTTGTTTCGTGCCTAAATAATGGACCAGTAAAACATCACACGGTATCTCTCATCTGTGTACGCTTAACACTATGTATGCCTGCGTGCACAAGGAGTTTTATACTGGGACTATTGTTTTTGGAATAATGGGGGAGAAAAATAGCTCCACCTGGAGTGCTGGTCAGTTCAGGACATTCTTCCCTGTCAAATCCTGTTTCTCACTTCTCTGAAATGAACTTCAGACGACAGGCGTTGAATGTGAAGCTCGCCTCACTGAGGTACTGTGCAGACTGCAAACTCCTCATTGCCAGACGCTTTGGGTGAAATAGGCATCTGCAGTGTTTGCATTGGGGGTGACGGGAGAAAAGGCTTGCAATTGTCGTTTTCAACTTTCAAATCCACTTGCCACAGTCCATTACTGTTAAATCTTTAGCTAATTGAATAAGGATATCAGTATGTTGCTATTGCAGGAGCTTCAGACTTTTTAGATTGGGGGGTGGAGGAGAAGGTCTTGTTCTTTGTTCTGTAGAAACTTAAGTTGTCATGCAGAGATCAAGAAGACTTTAATAGCTGAAATAAAACATGAATTTGGTGTTCTGATGGGGCCATTTCTCATGGCTTGGCTAAAGAAATGTGAAAAGATAATTGTTTTAATCTGAATACATAAAAAAACCTTGATCCATGTAGTTAGTAGCAGCCTGCTCTTTTTCATGCAGCCTTTAAAACAACCTATAACATTTAAAAAGTTGAAACTGACACTGAAGTTAGTATAAGTAATGAGAGTGTAAATCCTTAAAACATTGTCTTCCAGGTTACATTGTCTTTGTGATGTTTCATATTAGAGATCTAAAACAGTTGGTTTAAAAACTGAACTTTTAAGGCAATGGGTCTTGGTTTTCCACATAGATGTTCCTTTTTAAAGACCTGCTTTTAAAACGCAGTTATCCTGTTCTTACTATAAACTATTAGTTTAATATATGGTAGCACCAATATATCAGGAAGTAGCAGACTGTGTGGTTTTGTGGATAAAGGAAAATTAACAGCAGACATAAAATCAAAGTCTGGTCTATCCTGTTCTTTAAAAGCTTTTTTTTTTTTGTTTCCTCCCTTCCAAATTTTCATCTGAAAGACACTGACTTCCATCTTCATTTTTTTTTTCCTGCCATTGATATGAAAGTTTCCAAATGACGTTTAGACAACAGTGGACATTTTATTAAAGTAAACATTAGTTCAGTATAATGGAGGTAATTGTAAGTGATAAGAGCAGAGCAGGTTATCTGTGTGTTGTTTAAACAGAAGGAGCTATTTTGCCCCATTTCCAGTAACCATCTGTAGAGGAGAAGGGTTTGCACCTGTCTGTCCACACTAATTATAGATTAGGTCCAAAGAAATGAAATTCGAGTAGCCTTTCTCTTAATGAAATCCATGGTGATTTTATTGTAAATGTGTTTTGTGTACAGACGGTGATGGTTTGTCTGTGAGTAAAATAAATTGCTGTATGGCCGTTATGTGCTTGTAGTTGTAAAGCAGGATACTGCTGCATTAACAAAGGTCCTGAATAAAAATGCAGTGCTCCATTTAAGTCCTAGGCTCCAGATATGTCTCTAGCTAGGCTTAATCAAAAAGGTTCACTGTAGGCACTGTTATTTAGGGGTATGTTTCAGAGTAGACTTTTCAGTTATCATCACTTTCATGTCAATGTATTGGCATGTAGGTGGTCCTTTGCCTGAAATATGAGGCAGAAATGGTTTCATGTTAAATATGTACACATATACATGCAGAGTGTGTCAGATATAGTTTCCTCTGGTTTAACCTACATTATTAAGAAAAAGTGGAAAGAGTGAGAAATGCATTCTGAAGTAAAAGGTCACATGAATCTCTACCACATCTGTTTATAGTAATTATGAACATAATTAACATAAGAATTACAAGTGAGGTAATGACAAGCTGAGCTATGAGATATTATGCCATAATAGTCATATGTTGGAATTCTCACATTATAGCACACTAGAATTCACATATTCAATGCAAGAAAGAAAATGTTAGATTTTTATCTATTTTAATGCTTCAAAACTTATCTGCCTGGGGCAGATGGACTTTCCGCTTTAGAGGAAGGTAACCCATTATTACAAGAGAGTCAGTTGAAATTAAGATTTCTAGCCTGCAGCTTGGACTTTGAGACAGCTGTGCTTATGGAACGCCACTTCTGTTACACATTTGTATTCTGATTGTATTTATTTTATTAATACACATTGTTTTATTTTTAAATGTGTTTTCACAGCAAACTGCTTACATTAGGAAGGACCCTGGATTAGGTTTTTTTTTGAGTTTTGTGATTTGAGTAATAAAAGTATGGTCAGCATAGACATAAGATGCACATAGTAGCCCTGCAAGATGAGAATCTGGCAGATCCTAAATTAGTTCCTAAATCATGGTATGATATGTATCTATTTCAAGGAAAAGCTCTGTAACAGAAATACAAAAAAAGGCAGTCTCTAATTTGTGTGTAATAGTTTGAAATAACATATGCAGAAAGAAATCTGTATTACCTTGCAGGTTGAATTAATTAATAAGTCACTTTTCTTTAGAAATGCATAGAACATGCCATTAAGTTTAGGAGCTAAGGTTTCAAACAAGTTGACTAACTTTTGTAATATGACCTGTCTGATTACCTCTAAATATGGTTGTCACGCAACTGACAACTGGAGGAAGTTGAGGGAGAAGTGGCCCTTCTTCAGGGTAAAAATACTGGCTGAGGAATGCATAGTAAATTTGACATGTGAAAATCAGTTTGCCTTCACTGAAAAAATCAAGGTCCTGGTTTTGTGATAGGAACATTTGGCCAATTGCTGTCTTTCCAAGGCTAAACATATAGAGTGGTTTATGAAAAATTAAAAAAAAAAAAATACCTTGTGCTATGTCTCAGTGATACCAATAGGTTTTCACATTATTGGATTAGTGGAGGATTTGTGACAGACTCCTTTTTTATCTGACATTCATTGCAGTGACACGATTTTCACACACATGCCCTTCCCCCATCTAGGTTCTGGTTTTCACTTTGTATTATGTGTCAAATTCCCTTTATTCCTTTTCTTGTGGAATAAACTGCTATCTTGGACGAGTGATTTTGGAAGGAGTTTTGCACTGAACAATGCCAGTCTCACTTCAGCATGCTGTCATTGTCCTCCTCCCTCCTTCTCGCACTCCTCGGCCGAGGTGCAATGGAGATGCGTTTCCTAACAAATAAGTGTTGATTCCCACGGAGAAACATTTTAGAAACTTTAAAACCGGAGCACATAGAGTGCCTGGTGCTGGCATAGCTATTCTCCTGGCTGGCTGTGCTTATGGTAGGCAGGCCAGGACGCTTTGCTGTCTCCCCTTTCCATGCCTCACGCTAACCCTGTGCTCTTTGATGAATCCCGACAAAACAGCCCCTCAGTTTTCACACAACCTGAGTTGTGTAGGGACCTACTTCTCCTTATTGTTCATCCTGTGGTGAATGATGCCACCACTTTGTAGCAGCAGTGCTGTGTTCAGGCTCTAATGCCAGCGGTGACAATGAGCAGCCTGGGTTAGGCTTGGCCAAACTGGGAGCGGGTACAGCGTGTACTGGGCCAGCGGCCGCCGTGCTCCGTGCGGGATATAGG